AAGGTCTTAGAGTGTAAAGTTTAACAAATATCTAATAAAAAGTTAACAAAAAGCTCTTGGAGTGCAAAATTAACAAAAATCTGTGCAGCTGTTGAGAAACAAGTAATTTACATGGAACATAAGGACTATCTCAACCATAAATTAAGGGTTTGTCCTTTTTTTAATAACCTACAGATTTTTTGTTGTTATTGTTTCATTTCAAACATACAGTTGCAAACAATATAGTACAGGTGAAAAAGGTTTCACATCCCCCCAAAAAGTAAAAGTTTGCAAAAAAGTTGAAAGAAATGAAAAAAGTAAACCCCAAAATGAACACTTGAAGTAGTAAAAACAATTTCTACTAAAAAGAATTAAGAAGAACCAGCTCCAGAAAGCCCAAATAGTAATTCGCACAAACAAACAAACAAAAATATTTTGCAACACTTGTCTTGGTCTGCACAGCAGAATCTGAGTAAAATCCAGCAGTTTCTTGAACACACCCACTTTACAGCCTCAAAGTGGTGTTTATGAGTTACCACAAAACACATCCCTAGCAACCATGATGAATCAATCAGGGACTGGATGACACAAATGAGGAGTTTTAAAGCAAAAACAGGGGGTAGTGTGGAGGGCTGGATTTCCCCACCAAAGCCCTTACTATGACTATGCACAGTGCTGGCTGTGCAAGGACCATAGTGGAATTTGAAACCAAAAGGTGGGGCAGGGGGGGAGCTCCCATTGTACTCCACCTTCCCTCCCTGCCTCCCAAGACCAGCATTTTTATTTAACAGAACCTTCCTGGACACACTTCTCTCCTTGGTTTTGTGGTCTTGATTAATGCCGGAGTCACAGGGCCAAGTCACTCCCCAGAAATCCTGGAATTCTGCCCAGTGGCGTTGACATAACTGAGCAGGGCAGAGACAAAAGCATTTGCTCCGGCTTGTCCCTTTTGCTGCCTGATCTGAATCAATATTTGTTTGCTACCTACAGACAGGTTGCAGCCTCTCTCAGAGGCTCTCTGTTAGTCTCCTGATAGGGGTTGGAGTGCACTGAAAGAGACCAGCAGGAAGAATGAAATCAGTTGGCACAAAGCATTTTCCACGTTGGGAAATCAAGGCCTTCACATCTACAATTCAATTTCAGTGTTTTATGGCCCACATACTGCATTTCCAAAGGGGACCTGCTGTGCACAGAAAAAAGTCTGAACTCAGCGTTCAAGACCTTCCACGCCTGGGACTTTTATCTAGCTTTCCTGTAAGCATGCGCGCGCACACACACTCACCCAGCACCAAAGTCAGCTGGGACTAATAATTCTCCACACACACTCCGCACAGTTCTGCTACCTCTAGGCCGGGCTCTCAAATTCCCTCCACTGGGAATGCTCAATCTTGCAAAACCTCGCTCAACTGACATCTTCATGAGACTTGATACAAAAAATAATGAAACTTTTTCCCTTGGATCTCCTGCTCTGTGTTCCTGTCTCTCTTGGGGTGTCTGTGAAATCACAGAGATGAGTATGTACAGGCAGTCAGTCTTCCATTCTACCTGTGCACAGGGTTTCTGTCTTATTCATTCCTGTTTCCTCATAGGTCTGAGCACAGGGCCCAGCACACAGTAGGCATTTAATCATATTTTTGGATGGTTTCCACACACAGGGTCTTTCCAAATTACATCTGCTTTTTTTTTTTTTCCAGCGCACTCTCCCTCCTCAATATTCTCTTTCTGCCTCAGATTGAGTATGTCAAATGCAGCTCCAGTTCCAACATTCAGAGGTGGAGGTTTCAATTCCCAGCTTCTGTGCCAGTCTTTGCAAAGCCTGGCAGATCACTTCCGGGGCAGCCTCCTTCTCATCCTGAATTGCAGCCTATTTCCACCCCAGCCCAGCACCCCACCTCTGCACTGCGGGTCCATGTGGCTCCTAGCTCCATACACTGGACTACGTGGAATTGCAACCTGCACCTCCTCTGGCACAAGGCAGGGAAGGAGAAGGAAGGAGGAAGGATTTACAAGTGGCCTTGGGACTCTGATTTCCTGAGCAGTGAGTGTGTAGACTGGGTGTGTCAGGGAGACAAAGGGCAAGAATTCCATGTCACAGCACTCCCTTGAGTCAGAACTTTCCACACCAAGCCTGGGATTAGAACTCAGACTACTTGGATGCTATTGCCTTCTCTCTGACAAGATTGAGCTCAAATGGTTTAAAAGATTCAGGGTGTACCCTTGAAGTGAGATTTAGGGGTAATCTCAGTGGAACCACCAGAAAAACAAGCCTGAGCATCTCCTGACCCCTACTAATGACCTGATACCCAATAAATGAGATGGGGACTGCCTCTGGAAGGAAAAATTTAATATACCAGTGAATGGGCGGAAATGATTTTTTTTAAAGAACTGGAATTTCCTCTGATGTAGCCTACAGTTGTACATGTAGGCTAGCCTACTGCCTAGGGTGTGGCACCAGGCAAAATGGGTTCCCATGTGCAAAAAAAATGAGAACCATTCCATTTCTATTAAATTCTCACAATCAAAGCCAGGAGACAGATTAAGTTATAATAACTTTAAACAACATTTTCATGAGGAAGGCTAAATATGATGCTCAAGTCTGCAGAACAACTGGATTAAAAGTGAAGTGAACCCCAGCCAAGTTTGGAAATTATTACTTTGGGAAAATGTAAAGATCAAAATCCAATTACTGTCTATACAATTAACTTATTTTGTCTATTTTTCTCTCTCAGCCAGAGTTAAGGCCTAAAGAGCAGGGACTATTATTATTTTTTGGGTGTTTTGTTCATAGCTGTATCCCCAATGTCTATACCTATGAGTAGAACATAGAAGGTGTTCAATAAATATTGTGGTATGAACAAATGTTTAAAGCAGCTCAGTAAAGCCTGGGACCCTTTTTGTGACACACCCACCCTCAATTAACGAAGAAAAGTACCCGCAGACCCACACAAGCAAAGAGTGAGAACAAAGTGCCAGATTTTAGACCCAGTGCCGCAAAAGAGCCTATAGGCCGTCAAAATCAATAGCAATTATAGAACGGTATCTACCTTGCCAGGAAAACTACTTACGTCAGAAATCAGTCAGGAAACTAAGGCAATGACTGCTGATGGCAATCAATACAGTACTTTAATAGCTCAAAGACACAGGATGTTAAATATTGAGGCGCCAATCCAAGACCGAACCTGACCAACGCCAGTGAGTCAGCAATATTCCCTGGACACTTACCACAGGCAGGCCACTTGGCACTGCAGAAATTACAAAATGCAGGCAGTCTCCAAATCATAAATCCCCCAACTAAAAAAAATGCACACTGATGATTGCACTTCCCACTGCAGCCATGATGGAGACTTTTGGAGAAATCCTTGAAGCTTTTAGATAATAGGTGGACTTAGCAGAAGGGAGAAAAGTGCTAAGCATGAATGTCTTAAGGTAACTGGCCACAGAGGGCACCTCTTCAAGTTAGCTTCTCTGAACCTGGCCTCTAAACCGCTTCCTTAGCATTGCCTGAGGTGCCTGTATAATGTGGTTACTTGATTCCAGAGCCTTGAATTCTGTAAGTAACAGATCTGTTCAGGTTAACAAGGTTTTTGTTTTTTTAAATGACAACTCCTCTTGAGTTGCTGAGGGTTTTAGGACCACCAACCACTCCTAAGTTCATGAATACTGATTCAGTTTCCCTCAGCCGGGTGTAGTACACTGAAGTGGGAAGCAGGAAGGCAGGCAGAACTGGATAAACCAGGATGGCAACATGTCTGGAAGAGTCGCTAAGGAGGCGGAGGAAGGCAGAGAAAAGAACAAGGAGAGGGGTGCAAAGGCACCGTTTTCCAAGTAAAATCATTAATCAGGGCCAACCTTAAAACTAAACAAAGTTCTAGAAAAACATGTCAGTGATTTTATTCTTCCTACCCACATATCCTCCCATCTTTCCTCCCTACCATTACCCTCACCTCCAAAATAAGGCATGTACTATGAACACTTAGATACAGTGCATCTTAGGGGTTTCTGAGCTGACCTGGGAACCTAAGCATCTTCTATAACACTGTTGCACACACAGACACACTTTGCATTTGTACGGCACTGTATGGCACTTTCTGTTTTCAGTGTGCTTTACACATTTATTTTTGAATGAACATGTCTTTGAACTCTTTAATAATAAACCTGTGTAGATGGAGGTAAGAATGGGTATCATAAACCACTGTCACAGATGAGGAAATTGATGTTTGCCTCCCACCTTCTCAACAGCTAGTTGATGGAATCCAGCCCTTCCTACAAGCACTGGGACCCGCCTCTGAGCTGCACGGAGCGGCCAGGGGGACCACGCCCTTTTCTGTAACCTCTGTCCCTGACTCATTGTCGCATTATCTACAGTGTCAATGACAATCCTTCCCCCAGAGGCACGGGGGTTACTTCCTTCCTGATGCAAAAGTGGTCAACAAAGTGGGAAATACTCCTGAAATCCTAAGTTGCTCTCCTAGAAAATAGGTTAGACAAAGGAGAATGAGCTGAGTTTTTTTCGTTTTGATTTATTGAGAAGGGAGACAGATTGCTACTGCAAGTTCCCACCCCTCATCCTCCTCCCGCACCCCGCCGCTTCCCTCCTGCTGGTAGGTACAAGTTCCGCAAACGTTTCAAGCCATCTAACTAGAACACAGAGAGATCACGTTCTAGATGGCCGGAAAGCTTTCGCTAAACGTGTTGGTGCAAACCCCACAACTGCTCCGCCTGGGACCCGTGGCTACCAGGAAGGCCACACCCTGCCCCCCGCCCGCGCCCGGCGCGGCTGGAATGCGGGCCTCCCTCAGCTGCCCTCCCCGGCGTCGCCCCGCCGGGCTTCCTGAGCGCACTTTGCGGGGATGCCCGACCGCCTCCCTCCGCCCTGCACCGCCAAGGCCGGGGCGCAACCCGCCCCTCTCACTCCGGCCCGGACCACCTTGCCACTGCGCCCCCTCTCTGCAGAACCCCTTGTGCAGGCCAGTGCAGCGGCCCCGGGGACATAGCGGGCAGGCAGGGCGCGCCCCGCTTACCTGGGCTGGGAGCAGAGAGCTGCGAGCGTCCCCAGAAGCGGAGCGGAGCGATGCCTGGGTGGGGCTTTTATAGCCGCCACGTCCCCTCTGTGCGGGCGGGGCCCGCCCCGCCTCCCCCCAGCCCCGCCCGCTCCCACCCCGAGTGCGGGTGAGTCACCTCCCCGGCCCGCCCGCAGGGGCGGCCTCGCCCAGAAACGTTCCCCGAGCCCCGCCGCGCGCGAGCAGCCCCCACGCGCACGGCCCTGCCCTCCAGTAAAGCGCCGCCGAGGCTTCCTCGAGGCTCAATGTCGGCCTGTTTCTTCCCCCCTTCCTCCTTTGACTTCTTGAGCGCCACGTCGAGTTCTCAGCCCTGGTATATAGGTAAATACATTAGCAAGACTTTATAGTAGACGCCGAGCTGGTTAAATCACTCTTTGTTTTTGGCGTCAATGCAGTGGATGAATTGATCCAAGAAACATAAGTCCTGCTTCCCATGAGCTGGGGCCTTTGGCATCCAGGTCCCCGTTACCGTCCACAAACATATTAGCTTAACCTCTGACCGGCAGTTCCTGGGAGGAGCGCAGGGCGGGCGATGCGCCCGGTCCTGCCCCACAAAGACGGACATGCCCAGGCTTCCAAACGCGCCGGGAGGCCCTAGGGCAGGGTTAGGGTGGGGGGCTGGGAGGCCGAAGCCCGGAGCCGAGATCCCACCCGCTCCCGCGCCGGGAGGCGCCCTTTTTCCGGAATGAGCTCTGCGCAACTTCTCTACCCGCCTCCCGGCACCCGCTCCGCACCGCGCGTGTCGGGAAGCCCTAGGCGTCCTCGTGGCAAGCCGTCCGCGGCTGGGTGGGGCCGGTGGCTTTGGGCCTCGAGTTTCAACAAAGAAGTTTCCTCCTTCCTTCTTTCATAACTGCCGTTTTTTCGTAGCCTCCTAGCCAGCCCCCCTACCCCTCGGTTTTGCTGTTTCTCGCTTTTCTTCTCAGCTTCCACGAGCCATGGTGACAAGATGTAAGCAAACATGTTTTTGTGTGTGACTGCTTAAGTACTGTATTCAAACCTTACACTAGCAGGAATGTTTTGCTGAGAACCCCAGAGACTGCCCCCTCTGCCTTTGAATTCCTTCGTTTCACGCACTTCGTGCAGCTCTTTAGCCCCATGTTGATGCTTCTGTGTTTGTGGCTGCCATTATCTGTCTGTCTTAACGTCCATTTTTACTTGCCAAATGGGCATTTCGCTCCCGGGAATCAGAAAATGAGAGCAACGTGAAAGACAATCATTGCCATGCCCATGGTCACCTAGCCAGCTGGCTGTAGTCTGGGCCACAAATGGGTCTCAGAACCGTCAGCCCAAAAGCTCAGTGTTACCCAGTTCTAGAACTCTGCATGATGCGAAGAGGCCTTATCAGAAGAACAAATAAAAAATAAAAGCAATCCTCTGGTTCAATTTCAGATTTACATTTCTTGCTCTTTAATTTAGGCTGAAGCCTTCCTTACAGGCAGAAACGTGTCTTACCTGTCCACTCCCCTGAACATTTTGGAATAGGAAGGGAACACAGGCTGCGGGCCATACTCTTGGACAAGATTCCACTTTGTTTCCTGGCAGGGCAGGTGACACCAGCCTCTTCCACTCACTCTTAATGGTGCTCTGTTAAGGCCCTCTACAGATAAGATTTAATTCAAATCATGTAGAATACCTAACCACCACCAAGTGTCCAAAAGGATGTTTTTGCTCATCTTGGGCATCCAGCAAATCCAAACACTGATGTGTGCAATAGCCAGACTTTGCTTCATGCTACAGAAATTTACACTGAATTATCATAAAATATATATGGCTGTCATAAAGTATTAGATTTCTATTAGAAGTCACGATCTGCTATTTCTGAGGAATGTGTAGCCAATTCTGCCAGTATAAAAGAAATTTTGAACCCCTCAGTGCAAAGAAGATTCTCAATTTTCCTTTCTTTTTCCCCCATGGCTGGGGAGAATGTTTACTACAACAGATCTCAGGTTATGTCTGCTGTCTTGCATACTGTCCTCTAAAGTCTCAGCTTTATTTTGTTCACACTTTATCTGCTGCCCCTCAGCCCTACTAACAGTGCCTAGCTAGTAGTGATAGGCACTCACTAAAAATTATAGAGTAATAGAATTATTCACCCAGTGGATACATTCACCCAGAATGTTAGGTAGGGCAGACTAGTGTGTCCAATCCTTGATTTGTATAAATGAAGAAAATGGAGTTCAAAACCTCATGCCTAGTCCAGAGATTTAATAATGGACTCAGGTTACTTATATCACAGTGCAACAATGATTTGGCAATTTAGACAGGATGCAGGGACAGCTTGGCTCTGCTCCACACAATGTTGGGTGGAACCGCTCAATTTAGGAGGCTTCACACATTTGTCTGGTGTCTCAGCTGGGGTTGCTATGATGGCAGAGAGCAGGCTGGGTCGCTCTGTCCCTTAGTCTCTCATCCATCCATCAGTCCTCTCTACACAAGCAGAGTAATGGCAGCTGGCTTTCAAGAAGAACAGCTGAAGCTGCCAGGCCTATTAGCTGGTAGGCTATACAAAAACAGTAGACAGGCTGATCCTTGCTTTAATCCATTGGTCAGTTTTTGACTGCCTTCTGGCCTCCTGACTGCATTCTCTGAGATGTGTCCTTTCCCTTGAGAATGGCCCATAGTTGCAGTTGAGCAGCTCTCTCAACCTGCTTCATGCCAGAAGAAACTCAAGGTCCAGGGTTTCTTTTCATTTTGAACTGTTTTTGTGTCTAAGCTGGCAGTGTTTCCATTTAATACAATTATCTTTAAAACTTGAGATTTTCTATAAATCTTACTGAGGTTCATTCTGTGCTCCAAAATTCATATCCAAGACAATTTTCTCAAAAGCGCTATGTATGGGTTTTCTGTAAATGTTAATGAGGTTTAACTTTATGCTCCAAAATTCACATTCATTATTCATCTAAAAACAGACCTCTCTCTCTACTTTGTGTTTGTTAGGCTGGAATAAAATTCTTAGAAGCCCTGAGATGGCCTTCAATATACCACATTATGTCCAAGTTAAATAAGAAAAGTACCATATTAACTCTTTCTGGAATCTTAAAAATAAAAGTTTTACAGCCACACATGATTTGATCTTTACGAGGGCATTTCTTACTTTACAAATCTTTTACTGACTAGGATTTTGCTTGAAAACCAAAGATTATTTCTTTAGTGCATTTTTTCTTCTTGTACTTTATCATAAGCACATTGGCACTTACAGCATGCTGCCCGGAAATCTTTGCGGGATCCACAAGTTCATTAAGCACATTTTCTACCATTCCTGTTATCACAGGCAATAATAATGTCAAACAGTCTTCCAATTTACCACCTAAGTTGCGGTTTCTCCAACCTCCCATGGCTATGCCTTGCTGTTCTTCCAACCTCCACTAATAGTCTTCTCTCTGGTTACTGCCTGGTAATAAAGTCAGTGTCACATATGTTAGGTTTTTGTTACAGCAACACTCCATATCCAGGTACTAGTTTCTGTTGCAGTTACCTATTACTAGGAGATAAACCACTTCCAAATCTTAGAGGCTTAAAACAGCAACCACCATTTATTTGTTCATGATTCTGCAAAAGGTGGAGTTCGCTGGGTCAGCTTGCCTCTGGTCTATGCAGCGTTGGCTCTGGAGTTCCAAACGAGGCTAGAAGATCCAAAAAGGCCTCTCCAGCAGGGCAGTTGCTGGTTTTCAAGAGTGAAAGTGGGAGCTGCCAGGTCTAGAAGTGCCAGGTCAGTTCTGCTACATTCTATTGGTCAAAAAGTCATTAAACCCAGATTCCAAGAAAGGGGAAATAGATTCCACCCTTTCATAAAGGGGTGACATATGTTTCAGCGGGTAGAAAAAATTGTCAGCAACTACCTTTGCAAACAGTCTACCAGAGTCCTTAAACAAGTAAGTGGCACAGCTGAGGCTACAAGATATTTTTCTGCCTTTTAATTCACTGCCTTTTCCACTACACCGTATTTGTCACGTACTACCACTGCTTCAGTGAGACACAGGCTGTCCCCAAGTCCTCTGCATATATGATTTTCACCATAAAACAGTGTGTCCTTGAGCCTTGTTACATGCAATCACATATAATAAAGTCTTATATTTGAAGATGTGGCCAGATGAGGAAAAAGATCTATCTGGAAAATCCAACATCCAAATAATAGGAGTCTAGAAAGAAAGAATAGGCCAAGTGTAGGGCGGAACATCATTAAGAACAAAAAAAATTAAGATAATTTTCTAGATCCAAAGACCATGAGTTTTTATATTTAAAAAGTCACAATAAATGGAAACACAAACCCCAAGGCAAATTATTATGAAATTCTAGAACACTGGATGCTTATAGGGATAAAGTCTTAAAAGATTCCAGAGAGATTAAAAAAAAATTAAAAGCTCAGAAATGAAGTATAAGAAGTAAGAATGGCATTATACTTAATACTCAGATCTTAACTTCTAAGTACTATTCTTCAATAAATGAACCAGTTCTTGTTGGAAAAACATCTGTAGAGAAAATACATGGTGAGCTTTGTGCTAAACAACTGATAGGAACATATCAAAAACACACAAAAGCCAATCTGAAGGGGCTATTAATAGCATTGTATTGAATAAGATGAGAGGAATTGATTATATCACACTGAATAGTCCAAACTGAGAATAAAAAAAAGTATACAGAAAGATGGGATAGGGAAAGCTCTTATTTGCAGAGAAATATCAACTTATGAATGTATCAGGAAAGAAGAATATAAAAACCATTATTTTACAACTAGAATTCCATACCCAGCCAAACTATAAATCAAGATTCTATGCATAATAAACATTTTCAAAAATGCTGTTTATGCCTCTGCAGCCTGTGTTAGTTTCCTAGGAATGCTATAACAAATGACCACAAACCTGATGGCTTAAAACAACAGAAATGTATTCTCTTACAGTTCTGGGGGCCAGAAGTCTGAAATCAAGGTATCATCAGGGCCACACTCCATCTGGAGGCTCCAAAAGAGAATCCTTTCTTGACTATTCCAGTTTCTGGTGGCTGTCAACATTTTGTGGGGCTGCATCACTCCAATCTCTGCCTCCATTTCCACATGGCCTTT